TGCTTTTGCAGCACTGAAGGTGAGAGCCATTCCAGAAGCTCTTATCTTGTACAATGTGCTTCCTTAACACATTGTGCACTTGCCCTACTCAGCCTTTTGTTTCCATGATTACACACGCTCTCCTTGCCCCACGCTGCAGCCCCGTTTTGTGTATCCCCACGAGGCACGCTCTGTCCATTGACTGAACGGCGACGGGCACGTGTGCGCTGCTCTGCCCTGGCAAACATTTGTGCTCAGCATCGGGGCGGAGGGAGGAGGATTGAAAAGCTTTTCTTTGCTGTGCACAAAGGTCACTTTTTGTTTTTTTTCCCCCTTGATTTGTTCTCCACTAGTCTGCTGCACCACTGCAGCTTTCATCCAGGACTGTAATAGATACTTTGGGGATGTGTTTGGAGGCTTGTCCTGTAGCTGAACAAGTTGAGGAGTATGTACCGGGGTCCTGTCCCACTGGACTTTTTCTGCAAATGGAACTGTCTCTCTCCCTCGTGAGCCAGGTTTCTGTGTTCAGTTTGGATGCTGACAAAAATAAGGAGCATTTCATTATTGTTATTAGCTGTCTAGAAGGGCTTCCTGCTGTGATGGGTTTTGGACACCCCCTCAGCTATTGTCCCGTGGAAGGAGACAGACTGAGATTTTTGCCTCCCGTGCACTTCACTCACTGGATTAAGGATGAAATTGAAGCTTTCCTAAAAGACTGAGTAGCCTGAAAAAGGAATCAATACATGGGAACTAAAAACAGAGAGAAAATTTATTTTTTTCTAATCCTGTTTAGAAATAACAATTGAAATAAATGGATTTACTGGTAGGGGTAAAAGGAAGACCTGAATCTAGAAGGTCTCATTGTACATTTAGCTTTTGAGCTGTTGAACTCAGGATCAGGTAATTAAATTCATGAGCCAGAGAAAAGATGAAAGTAGGATCTACTATCCTTTAAAAATGTTAATGTTCCAGAAGGAGCTGAAATTCCTCTATCACCTGGATGAACTTGGCCGTGGCCCTGTGTCTCCTGTTCCCCGTGTGACGGTGCTGCTTCCGAGATGTACGCGCCAAGGAGTGGTTGTGATTTTGTGTCATAAAATAATGCTCCTTCACTGCCTTGTTTTGTTAGGGTTTTTTTAAATGTACCAACAGTAAAACCATACAAAGTTACTTGGGAGCGGGGAGATCCGATCGCCTGCTGAGGAGGCAGCGCTCTGCCTTTCAGAGGAGAGGGGTTTGTCTTGTCAGGGAGTTCTCCCATCGCACCTGCAAAGGGAGACTGAGGCTTGTCACGAATTTTAAGATCCCCTCCTTCTTGGTATTATGTCAAGTGATGTCTGTGTCTCTTGCAGCATGAGGTGTGGAGGTAATACACTGCCTACTGCATAGGCTTTCTTTTAATGGCAGAAAATGTAACTTCCAAAATGCCAGGTGGAGGGGGATCTGTGGGGATTCCTGCGTAGAAATGAAAACTGGAGAGAGTGACAATGGGCCAGGTGTCTGCCTTTCGTCAGGGTATTCCCTGTGTCACATCTGGTGCCAGCATGACTGCTATCCCTAAATGATAAGGAAGCTTTGCAGTCAGGGGAGAGCTGAGCTGTCAGGTGAGCCTGGGATCAAGAATTATCATGACCGTTTGATGGCACGTGAAGGATGCTGTGAGCGTGGCGTGGTTCTGATGAGCAGAGGCTCAGTTTGGTTCTCCCGATAGGCTGGTGTGCCAGGCAAGCAGGACCCACATCCCACTGTGCATCAGGTATGAGGAAGTGTTCTGGTTCATCAAACGTAAAATGACAAAATAATTTGTAATCTCTTATTACTAATCCCTGGCTTTTATGCGTCTACACGACCCTTGTGACATTATTCGACAGCTGATCACTTTCTTTTCTTGTCAGCTACTTAGAAAGGAAGTATGCTGCTAGCGGTCGTAGGAGTTAACCGAAATCTTTTACTTAGAACTTTGTAGGGAAGAAAAATATGCCAGATCTTAAATATGGCTAGTAATAACTTAAGTAGCCTTTACTAATTATTTGCACCTAATCACGACTTACACAGGTGGTTATAGCCAAAGTTCATTATAGACACTTCTTCCTAGTCATGATGTGGTTTCTCCCAGCGAGCAATTGGCTTGAGAAGATGTTGCAGAGGACGTGTAACTACCTGCACAGTGTTCTCCCTCTAAATTATTTGAAAGTTGAGCATAACTCTATTTAACTCTTACGTATGCAAAAAAAGGGCCCTAACAGGAGGGAAAGATCCCTATCCAATATCCCTTGATAGGATGCTACCTGCTACAGCACAGGCTTTGTCTTTCCTGCACACATGTGAAGTTTGCTGGGGGTAACCAGCTATTCCTCTGTCCGCTCCGGGATTCACAGTGCATCAACTCCATGTTGTCCACGCTGCAGCATGGCGCAGTGCAAATGTCAGATGACCTTCCTTGTGATCTCTAAACCTGAATCTGTGCCATAAAGCCTTTTTTCTTCTCGGTGGTGTTCTGAACACGTCCTCTTGGCTTTCTGGGGAGGCTGGAGCTGGCTCGCGGACGCAGGGGCTGGTTTGCGTGGTTAGGGCACGGTGCTCGCGTTGAACGTGCAATGCAGGTTTGTGATTTAAATGCCTCGAACCTAAATTTGTAATCCAGGTGTTCTTCCGTTCATGCCTGCTCTTCTCAATTTATTCATTTCATATGAAAATACTTAGTATATTAAAGAATTACTTGACTTTTTTTTTTTTTTTTTTTTTGTGCACATGCTGCACAATGGGGAAGGTTTCTTGAAAGTTTTCTTACAAGTGGATTCCCATGTGGTGGCTGTTAGTCACAGCTAATTACAGAGGCTGGTGAATGAAAAATATATTGGAGCTCAGGTTCCCCTCTTCCTCCTCCCCCAGTGCTTCAGAAGAAAATAAAATAAAAAAAACCTGCAGAAAAATCCAGGTTTTTATGTGATTGTAGTCTCCAAAGAGCAGCAGAGAGATCACAGGTGTCGTTTTCACGTTTCAGGTTTAACTATGGTGTAATAACTACAGTATTACCTGCAGGAGAAATGCAAGTGGGGAAAGAATCATTAACTGACAGTGAAAAGTTCAACCTATGCACTGTGTGTTTGGTTTTTTAAGCAGCTGAATGTTTAGGCAAACCATATTTTAACTTTCAACTGCAGCCCTGAAGGTTACAATAATCTTGATACGTTAGAACCTGGGAACATTATAGGGAAGGAAATTCAGATATGTGTTTCAGAAAGGTCAATCACAGACAAGCAGAAACACTGGTGGTTTGGTTAAAGCTAAGACACAGCTTCAGTTTTAGTTCAGTTGCATACAAGCCTCCTGTGAGGTACGCTGACCTTACTTTACAACACAGGAATTTTTTGAGGTGTTTCAGTGGCTGCAGAGTAATCCAGCAGGGAGGGGTGAAGTTTCATTGCTCTGCACAGGAAGAACCCGTAGCTCACGTAAAATGTTTAACGTCTAATTTTCCCATCTTCTGTTAGTGTTCATCCAGCATCCAGGAGGTCTGCTAGGTTGAACACGTTCCTGGGTGTGTAGTATAACCACTAGTTCAGTAGGACTACATGGGATATGTGTGTTGTTACTAAGGCACCAGTGACCTTCCCTCTCCCATATCAGCAGTGCCTGCTGTTTTCCCATCTTGCTCATTGTCAGGAATTCAGACCATACATGTAGCTGGGTATTATCTTCGTTGGTCAAATTATTGTCTCTGGAAAATGAAATGCTTTAATTACAAAAAGTAAAAGT